CTACTACTACTACTGCGACTACTGCTTGTACTCTCGCTGTTTTCTTCTTGTTCACAGCAAGGATGGTAGTAGGCAATCGCATAGCTAGTGTTAGTCATGAATCGTCACAGGGGACGTCGTCGGTCAGATTCGATATACAAATAATATGTACTCGCCTCGCATGCCTATATGAGAAATGCACACATGCAAATTTGTGTTATATCATCTGAGGTGTGCAAGCGATCCGACGAAGTCAGATGCACTGTTCGGGTTTGCGTGAACAAGAAGAAGGCCAGCTGGGTCAGAGTCTCCAGTGTCAACTTCGATGCCACAAAGTCTGGTGCCCTCAGGTGCACATTCCCTTCTTCCACTTGCAACGGACTCCTACAACCTTCGTCTCGAGAGCAGAGCGAGAAGCGCAGGCAGCTCTCCAGCTTCCACCCGTTGCGGTTTCTAGACGCTTCTGTCGAGGCCAAGCAGGCAGCTGCTGCCAAAGCACGGCCTGCACCGGGCTCATGGGGGAGTTGTATTTTTTGGGCATCGGCTGCTGGAGAAAGCCCACTTTCGGTCCACATTCGCGCTTGGCTTCTAGGTGCCAATTGTCCGCACAATCTCGGCGAAGTCGAATGCAACGCCCAAGGCAAGCAACTTCTGGCAAGTTACTCTACGAAAGCCTTCGAATGCTGCGCTGGCAGGCACCAAAGCCCTCTGCTTGGGGCGCTCAAGGCGGGACACGTAGGACTCAGGAGATCTTAGCAGGGTCAGGTCCTGGCGTCGCCCTTGGAGCTGCTTGGAGGCGCGCGGCCAGCACCAGCAGAGGATTCTCCGGAGACGCAATCGGGGTACCCATCGCTCGGCGACAAAAGTGTGCGGGTCTGAATTGTGTAAGGTGGCTTTTTTTGTTGGACTCGCACCCCTTATCCCCAATTGGAGCATCTCAGGGGCCAGTACCCACTCCAGAAACAGAGGCCGAATTGCCGCGTTCCGGTTCTGCTCACAATTTTCCCCAGTCATGCCAGTGGTTGACTGCCGAAGGTTCCGAAGCTGGAGGATGCAAAGACTCCATCCTGGAAGGAAGCGGGGGCTGGAAAAGCGCTTTTTCCCGAAGCCCGGCTTGTTGAGGCTGGCTGTCGGACCTCCATTGTTCTTGACGGCATGGGGCCCCGACCTCAGCCATCCGGGTTCATACTGTATCCAGATCCTGTGCACTCGATAGGGCTAGCGCGGGCTAGAGAGCATGAGCTTTGCGTTTGAAGATTTTTGAGGACATCCCATGAAGGTTTTCAGAACACAGGGCCAGATGCATCGAGCAGTGCACGTGTCAGGAAGCGGCGGACGATGCCAGAACAGCTTGAAGTGGCCACTTGGCAGCAAATTGTTTCTGAGCACCCATGAAGAGCATCGTGCTGTTCTTGAGTCTGAGCGGCCACGAAAGCCAGGCAAATGCTGCCTTCATCTGTACCCTGTGCCGCTTCGTGATGGTCAAGCTATCACCTGAGTCCTCACAGCGAGCACATCTGAAAATGCCATCCGCCACTGGAACATGCATGGATGACACGTCAGAGCGGCATGCTTGCTTGGCGTCCAATGCAGGCCTGTCATCACGCGATGCTCGCACTTGTTCTGTGGTGACTGCTTCCACCAGTATGCCAGGAATCAGGCAGGGTTTTGTTCATGCCGGCAGCTGAAAACCGAAGGACAATCCCAGCGCCCAGGTAGAGCTCCACAAAAGTCAGAAGACGCAGACGGGGCCCGTCCAGTCCTTAGTTGCATCTCTAGTCTCGCTCTCGCGCTGTCTCTCTCTCTCTCTCACGCTCTCGCTTGCTCGCTGGCTCGCGCGCTCGCTCGCAGCAGTGGCAGCAGCTGGAGCAAAAGTGTCCAAGCAAATAGTTTGCTTCAGGTTCCGCAGATCAGATGTCCCTTCCCTGAGTGTAAAGATCTCCTCAAAAAGAGTGATGCAGAGCTGGCTTGTTTAAGGGGTCTAAAGTCTGTAGAGGATTAGAGGATGTTGAGGATTCTGTGCAGATCGGTTGCACCTGGCAGGTGGGACCTTTGACAGATGGGGCCTCAGAACCAGGGCTCCAAAAACACTTCAGGGCGTCTTCTTTGATTCGCACCTGACAAGGATGGGGGTGCACTGCAGCGGCTGCGAAACAACTTGCACATTCGCTGCGTACATCATCAGGAGCATTATAAGCCACGCCCTTGGGATTGATCGCATGTGGCCTTCATATTGTCATCTTCGGATATCTTAGGATCCTTTTTTTAGGACCTGGAGCCAAGGTATGAGTTTGGGAAAGATGCCGAGCGCCTGTTCCAGGAGCAAGGCGCGTCTAAGTGGTGCGAAGGTCAAATTGGAGCACAGCAGAAGTGTGTTGAAACTATGCGACTTGTCACGCAGAAAATCTGGGCAGACGGGCAGTGGAAAGGCAAGTTGTAGAGTAGTCATGGCATTGCTGCAGCAACCGCCAGGAATGTCTTGCGAGTGGAGTGGCCCTCCTGGTGCGTATGAGGCCAGCCATACACCAGAGTCGAGAAGATTTCAGCCCCGCCCCACCTCTGCATGCAAGTGTCAGGAGCATATGGCCGGCTGCCCCATTGAGAATTTCCTCAAGTGCTCCTGGCGCTGTGGCATGCGCTCCATGCTCGTAGCGCATGTGTTCGCAAGTTCTTGCTGTCCGTGGGTTGTCGGTCGAGTTGCCTGCCCTAAGTCCCTGCCTTGAGAGCCAGGTCCCAAGACGAGGCGAAAGCGAAGGCTGGTGATGAGGTGAAGGTTGCTGATGATGCAACTCTCAGTGCGCCATCTGATTTTACTGGAGTGCTTGTGCAGGAAAGAAGCCCGGTTTTCGAGACTTGATGTTAAGTTAAGGGCTGACGCCGCTGCCGCCGACCCCGCCCAGCGGTGACTGGGATATGACTTCATGTCGCTCGCTCGTAGCTGTTTCCAAGTCAAGAAGTCTGAAGCCCAAAAAGCATCCACACCACCCCAGACGGGATCCCATGCCTTGAAACTCTGTGCCATGCTAGCACTTTAGCCACCCAAAACACCTGAAAGCTGGAAGAAATATCTCTCTGCAGCCACACAAAAAAACTATTATTACTACTACTACTAGTACTGCTACTACTCCTACTACTCCTACTACTCCTACTACTCCTAGTACTACTACTACT